TCCCAGCTGGAGACACAAGGGGCGAGCGCCTCTCGCCCGCGTGTTAATAGATTCACCAATCGTGCTCGGGCGTCCTGGCCGTCTAATCATATGGGCGCAGCACTGCTACCCGCCGAGTCCTCTCCTGGCCATGCACAACTTGATGGTGCTGATGAAGCGGACGGCCAAACCACGGGGCGTGCAGCTCATGCTGATGGCGTACCTCTCGACGATGTGGCTGCCGCCCCCTTCTCGACTCCTGCGGCTGCGGCTTCGGCAGACAATGGCACATCGATATCTGTGGAGGGCGATGAGGATGTATTGGCGTTTCTCTTGGAAGTGGAAGGAGTGGAGGACAACGACTTCGCGGCGGCCCAGTCTGAGGTTATTGCATCTGCTGCCTCTTTTGAAGGCCCAGAGGATCCTGATGATCAACATGCGGAGATTTCTGTAATGGTTCTTGCAGGCGCTGGAGAAGCTCCCTCCGCGGGCGGCGACAGCGTCGACCTTCCTGCTGGCCCTGTTCCCGTTGCTGGGCTTCTTCTTCTTGACGGCGATGCCGTCGCTGGCTCGACGCATGGCGTCACCAGCTTCCACCTCGACGACTTCGGCAACCAGATCGTCCCCACGGCGGAGGGTCTGAGGACAGGCCCCGGGCGGGCCGCGGGCGGCGCGCCCCGAGCTGCTTAGAGCAGCGGTGCGGCTGGATGGGGATTCCTCCTTGAGGCGTGGGCTCCTCCTCTTCCTCCTCCTCCTCCTCCGCCTCCTCCTCCTCCTCCTCCTCCTCCTCCTCCTCCTCCTCCTCCTCCTCCTCCTCCTCCTCCTCCTCCTCCTCCTCCTCCTCCTGCACTTGCACTCGCGGGCCTGGAGCTCCGCATTCCACGCCCCGTCGCCGCAGCGCTTGCAGGCCGTGGGGCGGTTTTGGTCGTGCTGCCGGCAGCGTTGCGTCCCCATGCTGTGACCCGACCCGTGATCTTGGCATCGCTCGGACGTGTGCGTTTGTTCTCGGCGAGCACCATCGAGGAGCACCCTGGACCATCGAGCAAAAGAGAACACGCACGAAACCGAATAATGCACGGAGAATGGACGTCCGAGCGACGGCAAGTGATGGCCTTCGATGTGCGAGGCCGCGACAGGAGGAGGAGCAAGAGGACGGGGGAGGAGCAGCAGGAGGAGCAGTCGCCGAGCGCGTCCCACTACTCGCAAAGTGCCTACTCGCAAACGTCCGAAAAACCATACGTCAGACGTTGTGCAATATATCGCAAATCCCCCGCGGCGGATCCAGGTCATTTTCGAGTAGCTACTTTGCGAGTAGTGGAACGCGCCTGTCAAAGCAGGGCGACGACGACGACGACGACGACGACGACGACGACGACGACGACGACGACGAGGCGCGCATGCGGGCGGTTGGCTTGTGCCGCGTTCCCAGATTGCCAGTGTGGACGAAATCAGGGGAGGAGGACACGCAGCAGCAGGAAGAAGAGGAGAACGGGGGCTGAAATGGGGTGAGCATGGAACGCCACCTGCCAAATAACATAGCCAACGCAGGCCAAGTCCAGAGAAGGAACACCATTTGCAGGATGGTCCGTGGGAAACTCCTCCTCCTTCTCCTTCTCCTCCTCCTCTTCCTCCTCTTCCTCCTCTTCCTCCTCCTCCTCCTCCTCCTCTTCCTCCTCTTCCTCTTCCTCTTCCTCCTCCTCATCATCCTCTTCCTCCTCCTCCTCCTCCTCCTCCTCCTCCTCCTCCTCCTCCTCCTCCTCCTCCCCCTCCTTCTCCTCCTGTCGAGCGCAGCGGGGCCTGGCGGCGCCTCGGCCTGGCCCAGCGCGATGGGGAACTGCACCGCCTCGTGCGACTGGGCCGGCGCGGAGGCCCTCGAGCCCGGGGACCGCAGGTCCTCCCTGACCTCCCTGGGCTCGAGACTGGAGCTCCGGGGGAGGGAATCGAAGAAGAAACAGCGCCATAAGCATACACGTTGTTCATTTCTGATTCTTCGAAAGGTCTTTGATTTTTTGTGGGGGGCCAAGATCCTTTCTTGTCTAATTGTTCTATCCTGGGCCTTTTCCTGGCCACTAGGGGGCCAGGAACAATTAGGAGCGAGCACAATTAGAAATGAGCACGATTAGAAATGAGCGACGTGTAAACTTTTGGCGCTCCGCGCGGATTTCTTGGATCCGCGATGGGCCCTCCCGTCGGCGCCTCCGGCGCCACCCCTGGCGCGCTCCGCGCGCCAGGGAGGGGGGGTCCAGCACATATCCAAGAAATCCGCGCGGAGCACCAAAAGTGTATGGCTATAGCGTTCTTTTTCACCTTCTAGGGAAACAATTAGTGGACACTCCCCCGCGCCCTACAACTCAATGCTGGCACGCACGAGGAAGGCTGCGGTCGAAGGGCAACTCATCCAGCCCACCGCCAACGTTGATCACTGGAGGGGGGGGCATTGACAGATGAATGTGGCACGAGTATTCACTGATTTCTCCCGAGGCCTGTCGCAGAATTTCCCAGACCCCCGAAGCTGTGATTTTTTCACAACGTCGACCCCCAGAGGTCTGGACCCCTTCCCCAGTACCGGTTTTTCATCCGGGATCGTTTTTGACGGCCCCAAGGCCCGGCGAGGGCCCCCAGAGGTCGAAAATAGCGAAAGGCCTCCGTCGTGTTTTTCTTGTCACAGCGCGAGGGGGTCTGGGGAAGAAGGAGAGGAAGAAGCGGCACGGGCACAAGTTTTCGGAGGTCCGCTCGGACTCCTCGGATCGACTCCGCCGCACTGCGCGGAGAGCGCGCCCGCGGCACCTCTGCGAGCGTGCTTCTTTCCACTGCGTGTGCGCCGGCACCGCACGGGCGTCGCGCACGTTCTCGGAAGTCTTGCCAACGAACTCAAGCAGTGGCGAAGCGTCCCGGCTCGCCCCCAGAGGCCTACGGGACAATGTTCTGAGAGCCTCGTGTGGTTTGCACACCATGTTCTTAAAACATGTCTTGCTGAGACCCTCATGTTTGTACACATGGGGCCTATGTTCAAATAGCCTTGCTCTTGTTTTAAAAGAGCATGCTTGGGTTCTAAGAACACGTCGTGGCAGGTCTGTAGAAATGCCGTGACGGTCGGTCCCTGCTCAAATACAAGCTCCGTGGCGGGCGCTCTCTGGCCATGCCGCCGAGGACACGATCTGGCGGATTTCGGGCGCCCTGCACCCCCCAAAGAACGTGTTCACCTCTTGGGGTGTCCAAAAAACGTTTTCATCCCTTGGGGGGCGTTCTTTTTGTTTGCTCCTGCCGCCTTCCGCTGCCACTCCGCCGGCGGAGGCGGCCTCGTTTTGCTTCCGCCGACCTTCTGTCGCCCTCCCGCGGCCTTCCGCCGCGGAAGCTGTGACAATTCCTTCTCCCCCCGAAAATAAGGCCCTTGTTTGGAACGCCGTATTTACTCAGTATACAAGTCGCATATTACGTTCGTGTCGGTCGTGCCTTCCAACAACAAAGCGTAGTACTATTATGTCCTTCTGCGTTCCACGCCAAGGGCGGCGGCGGAGGTGGCGGGTCCAGGACCAGGATAGATCATGCTGAATCTTTCCAGAGCGTCCCAGGGCGCTCCCAGAGCGTTCCAGAGCGATCTGGAACGACCTTGGTGCCCGACACATCCTCCAGAACTGCCGGACCTCATAGATCCCCGATCTGTCCTGATCCGATGTTGGCCTGGCCGTGGCCTGATCTTGCAGAGGAGTCCAGCGCTCATCCGCGTGGACCATAAGAAAAACATACAGTGGAGGCCCATGCCAAGAAACACCCTGATTGCCTCCAGGGTGCCCTGGGTTTCTTGGGCTTCGATGGTTTTGCGATGGAAAGCGTGACGTCCCCACACCAAAAATCAATGGACGCCCTGGGGTCTCAGGGTTGGGTTTCTTGTGGAAGGGTTTTTGTGGACTGGCCTCCACTGTACAAAGAGAGGGAACGTGTATGCTGGGCAGGGCAACCTGAGTGCCCATCGCAAGCAGCACCCGCTGGGGCTGGGCCAGGGGAGGGCCAGGACACTGGGAACACAGCTCATCATTGAACATCTCCTCCTCCTCCTCCTCCTCCTCCTCCTCCTCCTCCTCCTCCTCCTCCTCCCAAGCCCGAAATTCGGGCCTTCGGGTTGTGCTGGGGTGGCCTGGCAGGCAGTCCTGCGATCCGACGCTGCGACAGAGTTCCGACTCTGCGAAACGGCAGGGGCCGGGGTCTCAGACCCCCTCTCTCTCTGCGGCACGCCTCGTGCCGGGTCGGCCTGTGAGGGGACCCCTGGGCCCGGAAGAGGGCTCGACGGCACGCAGGAGTGACTTTCCGCCAGAGTGACCTTTGGTGCGGGCACGCCGTGGTCCCCAGCAGGACTGATCGCGATGCGGTGGCAGCGGTCTCTGCGCTTGGGTTTGGCCCCCTCGCGCCCCCGAGAAGCTGCGCACCAAAGGTCACTCTCACCCAGGGTCACTCTTGCGGGTAGCCGAGAGGGCGCACTTCCCCCAGACCCCCTCGCGCTGAGACAGAAATCACGACGGGAGGCTTGTCGCTATCTTCGGCCTCTGGGGGGGCCATCGCCCGGTCTCAGGACCGTAAAAAAACGGTCCGGGATGAGAAACCGGTCCCGGGGAAGGGGTCCAGACCTCTGGGGGTCGACGTTGTGGAAAAATCAGGGCTTCGGGGGTCTGGGAAATTCTGGAGAGAGCCTTGTTCGCCTTCTGTGCCACAACGCCGCCCCCCTCCCCCCCCCATAGTGCAGCGCTATCCCCCATCGGTGCGTTCCCGGCACTGCCGCAGTGCGTCTGGCGCCAGTCTGAGGTGGCGCCAGTCTGAGGGGGGGGGGCGCTGCGTTGTGCCCCTTCCCGCCCCCCCCCCCCCCTCCCCCACCCGTGACGCCCGCTGTGGCCGCGAGCACAAAGATTGGCTCCTGCGGCTCCAGGCTCTCGGGCCTGCCGCCTGAGCACAAAGATTGGCTCCCGCGGCGCCAGGATCTCAGGCCTGACGCTTTTTGGGGGGGGCGGGGGGGAGGGGCACCCCTCCAGGAGTCCCAGTCGTCCCTGGCGTCGCGGAGGCGGTCCACCAGCTCGAGCAGGGGGCACCTCGCGCGGGCCCCGTCGCGGCTGCAGGCGGGGCGGTCCGCGAGGTCCTCCCCGCGGGCCAGCCTGGAGCTGCTGCAGAGCTCGTGGCGGCTGGACGGCTTCGGCGATGAGGTCCGGGGGGATGCGCACGAGCAGCTTTCCAGGGGTGCCCCCTGCATCCCTGCCCCTCGGCCCATCCCAGCCTTGAGCCATCGGCCATGGGCTTCCATCGAAGAAGAAGAAGAAGAAGAGGAAGAAGAGGAAGAGGAAGAGGAAGAAGAAGAAGAAGAAGAAGAAACGCCATGCACATTAACTTTCGGAGCTCCGCGCGAATTTCTTGGATCTGCGCTGGGCCCCCCTGGCAGCGCCTCCGGCGCCGCCGCTGGCGCGCTCCGCGCGCCAGGGAGGGGGTCCAGCGCAGATCCATGAGATCCGCGCGGAGCGTCGAAAGTTTATGCTGATGCCGTGTTTCGTTCGTCTGAGGTCGTCACGCCAACCGAGCTCGGCGGCGTCTGGGCGAAGGCGGCCGCGGCCGCGAGTGGGAGGGCGCTGACCTCGCAGGAGTCCGGGCCACGTTCGATCCGGTTCGATGCGGCTGTGTTCGCGGGCTGGGCTCTCGATTCCGATTCGATTCGAATCGGCTCGAATGACCAGAATCGGCCATGGCCAGCCATAGCCAGGGGGCGATGATCCGATTTCGATCCGATTCGGGATGATTCGCTGGCGATCCGATACGTTTCCGATCCGATCCGATTCCGCGAGTCGATCCAGCTCCGACCTGCAGGAGCTGGACCTCGTAGCCGCCGCGGTGGAGAACACGTTCGACCTCCTCGACGTGGGGGAATCAGGCACCATAAGCGTATCTGGAAGGACAGGAGCAAGGCACTTGCATGTAGCCAGACTGCCTGACTGCAGAGGTCCAAGGGATCTGATTCTTGCAATCCCCGCGTGCTTCCTTCGTGCCCAGCTCTGGGTGCCGGTTTCGTGCCCTGGGCCATCAAGACCTCAAGCAGTGGCGATTCGTCTTGGCTCGCATATAGGCCCACCAAAAGAATTGTCTGAGAACCTTTTGTGGTCTGCACGAGATGTTCTTAGAACATTTCTGGCTGAGACTGTCATGTTTCAACGCATCGGGTTTACGCTATAAGAACATTCTCTTTGTTCCTCTAACTTTTCTGGGTTCTAAGAGCATGTCGTGGAGGCCCATAGGAATACCGGGACGGCCGGTCCCTGCTCAAAGAACGGAGCCGTGGCGCAACGCCCGCCCAGGGGAACGAGTCGGGACCCCTCGGGCCGCGGACGGAGGAACTCGGATCGGCAGATGTCGGGGGGATGCGCACGAGCAGCTTTCCAGGGGTGCCCCCTGCATCCCCGCCCCCCGGCCCATCCCAGCCTTGAGCCATCGGCCATGGGCTTCCATCGAAGAAGAAGAAGAAGAAGAAGAAGAAGACAAAGAAACGCCATAAAGATAAACTTTTGGCACTCCGCGCGGATTTCTTGGATCTGCGCTGGGCCCCCGCTGGCGGCGCCTCCGGGGCCGCCGCTGGCGCGCTCCGCGCGTCAGGGAGGGGGGCCCCGCGCAGATCCAAGAAACCCGCTCGGAGCGTCGAAAGCTTATGTTTATGGCGTTATGGTTTCCTCTTCTGCCTAAGCCATCGGCCATGGGCTTCCAACCCTGGCTTTCATTCGGGCGCCGAAGGGTCCTTGCGTCCTCACCGCGCGAGCCTGTGGTCTGACCGCGCTGTACCGACAGGCCAGATGCACACGGCGAGACTGGCCTGGGCGGGATCTGGATGCTTACTCCTGTGGCCAGGCGCTGGAAGGAGGAGGAGGAGGAGGAGGAGGAGGAGGAGGAGTAGGAGGAGGAGTAGGAGGAGGAGGAGGAGAAGGAGGAGGAGGAGGAGGAGGGAGGCGGGAGGAGTGAGGAGGGAGGAGGGAGGAGGGAGGAGCCTGGCCCTGCATGGCCGGGTGTGCGTTCCGAGCCTCGTGGCAAGCGCTCCGAGGTCCGCCGACGACGACGACGACCACGACGACCACGACGACCACGAGGGGGACGAGGACGAGGACTGGGACGACGACGTTAACGACGACGACGACGACGACGACGACGACGACATCCGCGTAGACCTCCGAAAGCCTACAATGTGGGCGCGCATCAAGAAACTATATGCTTTTCGTCAGGGTACCCTGGGTTTCTTCGCTCCGCGCGCTGCGCGGTGACTTTCTGCGGCCGCTCAGAAGCTGCTGCGTTCGGTGTGCTCCAGGTTTCCCTTCGGGTATACCTCGCGCGCAGGTTTTCAGGGTTGGGCTTCCTGCGGCGATGGTTTCTTGCGACAGCGCCCGCACTGTGTGCATGTGTTACGTGGGCACGCCCCTGTACAGGAGGAATATTCAAACATAGCAAAACAGAACATTGCCTGGGCACAATTTTCTAATAAGATCTTGTTTTGAATTTGTTTGATTCTTTTTTGCTACTATTTCTAATTTGTCGTCCAAGATCCCCCTGCAGGAAGGAGGACACGCCCGACCTAATGCTTGTGCTGTGGAGGACGATCAATGGAGAGGAAGCGTGATGTCAAACAAATTCCAGATGTCTAAAACATGTCTTAAACATGTTAAACATGCTGAAAACATGCCTAGAACATGTTTAGAACATGTTTCCTACATTTTAAACACATTTTAAGTTCAAGGATGGGACTGTGAGGGTGTCCATTGTCGTGGCATCCACAGTGCTCGTGCAGTGTTCTGTTCCTTCCAGTGTCTGAGTGGCTCCACTCGGCCCTGCTCGAGCTGTTCTCGCCCGGGCCGGCGACCGCGCAGGCGATAGCGACCAAGCTCTGCCGCGAGGCGGGCATCACCAGCCGGGAGCTCGTCAGGTCATTGATCGGGGCGTGGCAGTCTTTAGACCCAGACCTGGACGGCGTGATCGCCAAGGACTCGGCGTCGAGCGGGGGGGTGAAGTGAGAAGGAGAAGGCCTTCTCAGAAGGCGGCGGGGCTTCTCAGAAGCCCTCGCGCCTCCTGAGAGGTCTTCGGGGAAGGCTCAGATAACTTCTCAGAAGGCCGGACAACTTCCGAGCCTTCTGAGGAGGCGCGCCCCTTCTCACTCCCCCCCTGGTCGCGCCGCCTACAAGGACACCTTGGAGCAGGCACTGGATCAGAGCTTGGCCGGTCCCACAGCCGGGCCAGAGCTGGACGACGCGATGGTGGCCCAGATGCTGCGGAGGATGGACGCCGAGGGTGCGGAGGACCTGACCTACGCCGAGTTCTGCGCTCACCGGCTCGAGCTCCAGTTTGCGCGCGTGGAGCTCTACCTCTACGACCTCTCCAGGAGCATGGCACACGTGCTGTCCCCAGTGCTGCTGGGGCGCCACGAGAACGGCGTGTGGCATTCCAGCGTGGTGGTGCACGGGACAGAGTTCTACTACTACGGCACCCTGAGGCTGGCCGACCCTGGCACGACAGAGTTCGGGGAGCCGACTGAGGTTGTCGATCTGGGAGTCACGCTGCGCTCCAGCGCCGAGGTCGACGAGATGCTGGACAAGCTCGACGCGGAGTTCCAGCCGGAGAAGTACGACGTGTTCCGGCACAACTGCAACGACTTGAGCGACAAGTTGGTCTTGTACCTCCTCGGCAGACACATCCCCGACTCTGTCCGCCTGCTGACCGAGCGCTTGGCCAAGTCGAGCTTGGTGAGGGTGTTAGCACCGCTGCTGAACAGGGTGCTCGGCGCGCGTCACGAGAGCAACGCCAAGGCCAGCCTGACGCACGCGCCCTCGCTCGTGGACGCTCTCCAGGCCGCGGAGGCGGAGGCGCCAGCGCTGATCAGTGAAAGCCAGCAGCTGGGAGCCGGGGATCTGGCGTTGGGCCCACAGCTGCTGCGGCACCCGTCAAGCGAGGCGCTGGCGAAGGAGCTCGAAGTGTACCGCATCTACGAGGCCGGGGAGAGCGAGGGCGAAGACGGTGCGCTGCAAGAGCTGGTGTACTCCGAGGTTCCAGGCCTCGCCAGGCGCGTGGTGGCCCAGGTGACGAAGCAGAACACGGCGAGAGGCACCTCCGACCTGAAGTGGTTCAACAAGGGAGGCTGCTTCCACATCGCGGCCAGCATCCGGACCAGGGACCTCGCCCCGTACAGGGCAGCATGTGCCTTGGAGAGCGCCGTTGGCGATGACGACCTCCGCAGGCAGTGGAAGATCTTCGCGGAGGCCAGACTGGGCGCGTCTCGGAGCAGGGCGAACGGGGGCGAGGACACCGCCGACCCGAACGAGGCGGACCCGGAGGTGGTGGTGAGGCGAAGTCTGTCAGACGCCTCGCTGGACCCCAGGAAAAGGCCCTCGGAAGCGTCGTGGGAGTCGTATTTCTCCGTCGCCGTCTTGGGCAAGGCGTGCCCCAACGGCCACGTCATGGAGGCGGGCCCGACCTCCCGGCGCAGCCTCTGCTGCGCGTCCGCCGGCCAGGAGTCAGGAGGGAAAGAAAGTCACACACACACAATCCATTGTGGACTCCCAGGAAGAGATGAGAAAATATGGGAAGTGGGGGGGAACACGAAAACCCAGAAGATACAGGAAACGATGGGGAATCCTGGGATTTGTGTCTATTTGCTTCTGTGTCCCTGGGCCCCCATCGCAGGAGGAGTGCTTCGCCTGCGTCATGCCCCTGAAGCGTGGCGACCGGAGGGTGGGCTGTGCGGCCTGCAGGCACTATTTCTGCGAGCGCTGCTGGCACAACAGCTGCAACGAGATTGACGGCAGGATCGAAGAATAGCTTTAAGCCGGGCGTGTCTCTCTCACTACAGGAGGAAAACTCAAAACTAGTCAAAAATTTTATGGGGACGTTTTTCAAGACTATATTTGAATATGTTTGGAGAAATTCTGACTATTTTTCAGTTTTCGCCCAAAAATCCGCCTGTATGAGGACATGCCCGACCTAAGACGAGCTGCACAAAACGTCAAACGTTCGGAGATCCGCGCGGATTTCTTGGATCGGCGACGGCCCCACCTCCCCAGCGCGCGGGGCGCGCCAGGGGCGGCGCCAGAAGCGCCTCCGGGTGGCGGGGTCCAGTGCTGATCCAGCAATTCCGCGCAGACGTTTGGAAGTCTGTGCCTACGTGCAGGCGTCGTGCTGAGCGCCGAATCGGAAACGCAGGGGCGTTCCTGGCCACGGCGAGCCTGGGCCACGAACAGGCCCCTGGCCTAGATTCCAGAGGCGGCCTCAAGATCAGAGCCCCTCCTGAGCCCCAAGTGGCTCTGATTTCGGCGTCTTGGCCGCAGTTGCTTATGTTCCTGCTCCTTCTCCTTCTCCTTCTTCTTCTTCTTCTTATTCTTATTATTCTTATTAGTATTCGTATTATTATTGTTATTATTATTGTTACTACTACTACTACTACTACTACTACTACTACTACTACTACTACTACTACTACTACTACTACTACTACTACTACTACTACTACTACTACTACTACTACTACTACTACTACTACTACTACTACTACTATTACTTCTAGTTACTATGTATTAGTATTATTAGTAGTAGTATTAGTAGTAATATTAGTATTAGTACTACTAGTATTGTTCTTCTTATTCTTCCTCGTAATATTCTTAATATTATCAGTACTACTAATTTCATTATTATGATTAGTATTATCAGTTTTCTCCTTTTTCTCTTTTCTCGGCAGGAGCCCTCTGGACAGGAGCAGCCCGGCGAGCTCCCGCGCGAGGCTGCGCTGCCCCGCCGGCCACGCCCTGGAGCGCATGGAGGGGCAGGCGGTGCGCGGAACGTGTGCCTGCAGCGAGTGCGGCCGCAGGAGCCTGGGCTCCACGTGCGCCTTCTTCCACAGCGCCCGGGGGAGGCCACGCCGGCGCGAGCACCACGGGGGCGTTCTCCCAGAGTCCAGCAGGTGGCGAAGCGTCCTGGCTCGCCTATAGGCCGCCAGACAATGTTGTAGGAACCTTTTGTGGTTTTCACGGCATGTTCTGAGAAACATTTCTGGCTGGGACTGTCTTGTTTAAACGCATCGGGCTCATGTTCTAAGAACACGGTTTTGCTATTAGAACATTTCTGGGTTCTAAGAACATCTCGTGGTAGGCCTATAGGAATGCCGGTAAGGCCGGTCCTGGTTCAACAGAAGGTCCTTGCCTTCGAGGGTCGAAGGAGTTGCCCTCTCTTCCTCGGAGGGAGGCGGCGGAAGTAAAACGAGGCCGCGAGGCCGCCTCCGCCGGCGGAAGCAGGCGGAAGGCCGGCGGAAGCCTCGACGGCTCAAGACGGTTGCGTCGCAGCGACGGTCGTGCCAGGTCGCAAGTCCTGGCCAGTGCTTGCCCCCAGTCGGCCGCGCCATGTGGGCCGCGGGACACGGTGAAGGGGGAGTGCTTCACTGACCACTGCGAGGTGAGCGTTCGCGGGGTGCCCGACCCGCGAGGACGGCAACACCAAGCTGGGCCGAGGTGGTTGCTTGAAAGAGGGCGTACGGGCGATGCGCGGCAAGCGTGCCCTGAGGCGTGCAGCGCGGCTCGCGCTGGTGGCAGGTGTGGTTTGGTACCGTGGACAGAAGATCACGCGTGCCTCAGCCGCGCAGCTGGTCACTCCCGAGACCGTCGCGGAGTTGACCCAACTGTCGAGGGTGAGGAGGGATGACGTGCAGCAGGAGCAGCGAGCCACGTGGAAGCAGAGAACACTGAAGGTGTGGAGCTTCAACGTCGAGTCGCTACGTCGGGCTGGGAGGCTGGATGAGTTATTAGAGTTGGCCAGGAGTGCGAGCGTGGCCATCTTCTCCATGCAAGGCACACGGATGGATCTGGGAAAGACCTGGAAGTCGGGTAGTTTTGAGGTGCACTCGTTGGCGAGATCTGGGCGAGGCCAGCGGGACGGATGCCTCACAGCCATCAATCTCAAGTACTTCCAGAAGGGTGAGGTCAGGTGTGAGCACGCATGGTTGGAAGGGAAGTTGCAAGGAGTACGGCTTCGCAGTTTGAGTAAGAAAAGGTTCGAGCGCGACATCTACGTGCTGAGCGGCTACGCTCTCACCAACGAGGCTGGACATGCACCGAAAAGGAGTTGAAGCTATGGAGTATCGAGATAAGCACCTTGAGGCCAGAGACCTGTTCTGGCAGGTTCGTCGTCGAGCAGTCGGCCAAGTGTCAGCCGGGGCGTCGCTCATTGTCACGCTGGACGCCAACGCGCTTGTCCCACTAATGCTGCCTTGGATGGGGTTTGCTGGTGCGCGAAGGAATGGCCCAACGATCAGCGCCGACGGCCGCGCGCTGATGGACCGCATGGAGGATCGCGGGCTCGTGGCACTCAACGCGCTCGGCAAACGAGGAAGATTCAACGGCACTTGGAGGAGCCCGCAAGGTACATGGACTACTATCGACTACGTGTTGGTGCGACGGCGAGGCGGATGCGGACACTCTGCTCTTCTGAGGGCTGATCTCCCAGTGAACCTGGGCGGCTACAGGGGCCACAGGCCATTGGAGTCGCGTATCTACGCAGGTGTGCAGGCAACCACGGTGAAAGAAGCAGGCAAATTCCGATGGCGTAGGGAACTCATGAGCGAAGACATGTTGAAGGTGCAGCAGGGGGGGGGGCGGACTCGGACACCAGGTGAGGCCCCCCGACCGTTTGCCCAACTACAGGCTTGCATTTATGGAGGGGCTCGAGGCAAGGGGGGCCCAGGAAGACTGGGCTGACATCTGCGGGGAGGGCAAGCGGTGCGAGTCCCCATCGGAGTACTTCAATGAGCTTGAGGGGGTTGTGATTGAGGCGGCGATGCAGGACTACATCTCACCACCCGTGGCGCGGAATTTTGTCGGCCCAGTGTTCAGCGACGAGACGGCGAGGTCGATTAGGACAAAGCAGTACTGGCAGCATCAAGTGGCAGCCCTTCCTGACGGAGGTCGGCGGTTGCAGGCGCATTTTCAATCGCGGTTCAACGGGGCGGCGAAGTCGGCGACGGCGGCCATCAGGAGTGAGAAACGGCAGAAGACGGTTGCACTGGCGGAAAAGCTGAGCGAGCGGCAGGTCAAAGAAACTTGGGGCGACTCCACAACGTCGCGAATACATTAGCCCCCGAGCCCGCGGCCCCCATCATGACAGTGAAGGACCCAGACACAGGGCTGCCGCGCATCGACGCTGAGGATGACCAGCGCGCGCGCATTCGGAGCGCCTGCGAAGTGCGCGACGGCCGGGCGATGGAACTTGACGAACGACCCCCCCCCAGGCTGGCAAGAAGGAGCGCGATGACGACAGGATTGGCAACTACGACCTGGCGGCGGTGAAGGAGAGCATCATGGAGTTGTCCAAGTTGAAAGGGGGGCCCATGTTGAGGTGGCCTAAGTTGGGGCCGCCAGGAGTACTGCGGCTGAATCTTGGAAGCTGGCGATTGACACGCTCAGTCGCTGGGCGACGCCCCGCGGAGGTTCAAGGGCGGCGAAACCATGCAGTTGCGCAAGCCGAAGGGGGATGGATGCACGGCGTCGAAGGACGACCGGACCATCAACTTGATCAGTCACGTGGGGAAGGCGCATGCCAAAGTCACATCGCTTGCTGCGGTGAGGTAAGTGGCACATAAAATTTCACCGACACAGTTTGGAGCCATGCCAGGGAGAGGTACACGTGACGCAGTAGAAGTGGCAGGAGAAGTGATTGTGCGACATCAGCGAGCACATCGAGCAAAGCGACGAGGGAGCTCTTCCACACCTCCGCTTATGCTGTTGGCAGTTCTCACAGACATCGAGAAGGCATTCGACGGGGTGGTCAGGGAAAACATTTGGCAAGGTCTGGAGGCGCTCGAAGTTCGGTGGGATGATCGAGTGGCTCTAGGGGAGCTCCATGAAGGCATGTGCCACCTGTTCCGAGACGTCACCACCCACGTGCCTGAGGCGCGGATCTGGGTCAAGCAAGGAGTGCGACAGGGAGGAGTTGAGAGTCCTGGGCTTTTCGTGGCAGTCTATGATGGGATCGCATATCGCCTCTCGAACGAGCTCCGCCAACAAGAGGTTACAGCCATCAAGGTGCACTTGGACCCCACGCTGAAGAATATTTGGAGCAATGGCGGCTTGGAAGGGGGACGAGTGCGAGGAGCTGGATGTCTCGCAGTTAAAGTTGTTGGACGACCTGCTCACGTTCGCAGGTCTTGCAAGGCGAGATCAAAGCAGGAGGCATGCGCGTCAACACAAGGAAGACTGAGATGCTGCTCACGCCGACGGGAGTTGGGAGTAAGAAAGGTTGAAGGACATTCGCGCGCAGAACACAGGCATCGTGACGTGGGAAGAGGATGCCTATTTCCCACTAAATCCACAACATACGGTCAAGTGCTTGGGCGTGCAGCTGGCGGCGACGGGTACGCACCGTGTGGAGGTCACCAACCGCATCAGGGCCGCCAACTCCACCCACGCGCGCCTGCGTCGCCGCGAATTCAAGAGTGGGTTCAGCCCCAAGTTGAATATCATATTACGGAAGGCGCTGGTGCGTTTGGTGTGTCTGTACTGATTGGAGATCGCCACCCTCGCTAAGAGGGAGCTCAACAGGCTGGACAGCTGGTAGGTGAAGAAACTTCGAGGTTTATTGAATTCGCCAGCTCACTTGTACAAGAAGACTAACCGTGAGATCAGGAAGCAGGCCCGCACTCCGACGGTAACGAGCATGTTGTTACTGGCTGGATGGTGGAGCAAGGTGTTGTGGCCTGCCTTCAGGGAGCCCAGCGACGACCTGTACGACCCGACGCTAGCGGTCAGAGCGGTCGTCTTTGGGCGCTTCTCGTTCGAGCAGATCGGCCAGGGGGGGCAGTCGGGCCTGCTGACGCTGCTGCTTGAGGACATGCGGCAGATGTGGCAGGCTGCGGACGCCCAGGAGAAGCTCGCGGCCAGGCGGCTTTCAGCTGCGCGGCGACTCCCCTGGGCTGGCCGAGCCGTGGCTGCGCTGGCTCGCTACCCTTGAGCCGCGCTGTTTCCGCCGTGTGCTGACTTACGGCGGCGAGATGGACACTGTGACTGACGCGGCAGCCATCGCGTGGCTGGAGTGCGACCTGCGTGGGCAAACACGCAATGGGGAAACGGGGTTCGCCAACCTTAAACACGCGGCTAATAAAGTATATGCAAACCCAGCAGCAGAAGCCCTCACAGAGATGGATTTGAACTAAAGGTATGCCCTCGCTGCCAGAAGATATCCACGAGAGAAGACACGCTGGTAAGATACATTATACAGAAACGATGCACGGTCCATTCCAGAGAAGTTGAGGCTCAAGCCAAACAGTCAGAACTGCCAGAGCCCGCTGCTCCCCCTGCCGCACCCGAACCTGCTGCAGCGAGCGATGTTCAAGCCGATAGGCGAGGTGCAGGCGACGTCGGGCAGCAACGAGAGCAAGAGGACGGCGGCCGAGGCAGGGGTCGTGGGCGAGGGCAAGGGCGACCAGCCCGACGTGGTGGGCCCCTTGGCCAAGGCGCTCGCGCGGCTGGTCCTGCAGCACGAGGACATGGCGAGGTCGGCTCACAGGGGCGACAATTTCGTGATCCCGCTCAAGCCGACGCAGAAGATGGCGACCGCGCTGGACCAGGCCCTGGCGCACTACGAGGAGGAGGGCACCAAGGCCAAGGAGAAGGCGAAGGAGAAGCAGGGGGACATCATGGGCAACCCGCATGGCAAGCGCCCCGACGCGCTGGCGAGGGCGGTCCTGTTCCGCATGTCGGAGGCCGTGGAGGACAAGAAGGACGCGGCGCTGGCGGCCGTGGGGCAGGGCATCGAACCACAGGCCTCCAAGGCCGCGCTGGACGAGCTCTTGAAGTTCGGGAAGGTGGTGCAGGGCCCGACGAGGCGCTTCAAGGTGAAGAGCAAGAACGACGAGTGGGGCGCGGAGGCAGGAGAGTGCAAGTGGATCTTCGCGGTGAACCACTACCCAGGGTTGAAGGAGTCGCTGAAGCTGCTGAGGCGCAATGGCGCTCTGGCCGCTGTCGGGGTGAGCCTCCAGTGCGACATCGCGACGAGGTCGAAGGCGGCGAAGGAAGTGGAGTCGTTGGCGTTCAAGGGCGGCACGGGGACGCAGGCCAACTGGAGCAAGAAGCCCAGGAAGAAGTAGGAGCGAGCGCGACGCCACCTGCGCCAACGACAGCGGTGATGCCAGCCAGCACCTACACCAGCACTGGCGCCAGCATCAACGCGTGAGGTGAGAGGCTTTGCCGCCGCCGCCGAGAACCGTACCTCTTCCCCAGCCTCTATCTCTCCTTTCGACCTCCCTCTCCCTCTTCCGACCTCACAAACGCAGCTCGAGAAATCTTTTCGAAAAGGGGGCGGGCCACGCTAAGAATGCGGTGGGCCTTTTGCGCCTTCCCCCTCACCAGAGGGGGGGGGGAACCGCCCCCGCAAGTGCCACTCCCACAGGGGTGGGGGTGCGCGGGAGCGGGGCTGAGGCCAGTCGGGCCTGCCGCTGTGCACCCGCTGTCCGTTCCAGGGCCTCGTTTCCGATTGTGAAACGCGCCGCGTCGTTTTCACGGTAGTGCCGGTGCCCCCGCTAAACTTCCGAGGCAAATGGAGTCGCGTTGAAAAAAAGGAAGGCCGGCGGAAGGCGGCGGAAGTAAAAGATGCGCCTGGGCCGGTGGTAAAGGGGGGTGTCATAGCTGGGGGGTGAAGGAAGGGGCCCTAAAGGGGCCCCTGAGGGCCCCTCCTGGGCCCCCGCTGGCTCCAAAAGGGGCCCTCAAGGGCCCCTGTAGGGCCCGCTGCTTCACCCCCAGTTTGGTTCACGCCCCACTAACATGAAATCGGGCATGTCCCTCTACAGGAGGACTGCGCAAACAGCAGACACTTTTTCTTTTTCTTGCTTTTTTGGCTATTGTTGTTTTGTTGCTTACTATTTGAAAAATAGTTCTTCCCAAATACGTCTGCAGGAGGACATGCCCGACCTAACACTACCATCCGCCCGAGAGCACACGGGCCGTCGAGGCCCCACGCGGAGGTCCCAGATCGGCGCCAGACCTCTGCCCTGGCCCTCATGGCGCCCCCCTTGGGCGCGCTCCGCGCGCGCCGGGTCGGGGGCGGGCGGGGTCGGCGCGCCGATGCGGGAGATCCGCGCGGAGCTCCGAGGTCCTCGTGTGCTCGTGCCGCCGTTGCCTCGTCCAGCAGCTGCCGCGCCTGCTCCTTCGACCTGTGCGACATGTGCTCGCGGCGGCACAAGGTCTTCGGGGGCAGCGACACCAAGTAGCTGCGAGGTGTCCTGGCTCGCCTATAGGCCCACCAAAGAATGCTCTAACAGCCTTCTGTGGTCTACACGAAATGCTCTCAGAACATTTCTGGCTGGGGCTGTCTTGTTCTAACACATGGGGCTTTTGTTATGAGAGGACTGTTTTGGTTCTTAGAACATGTCTGGGTTCTAAGAGAATTTCGTGGTGGGCCTGTAGGAATGCCGGGACGGTCGATCCCTGCTCAATGATAGGGGGAGGGGCACATCGACCCCCAATCGCCCAGAGATCGCCGAGAGGGGGGCGCGACAGCCCCACCCCCGCCCAGTGACGCGCGGACGTGCTCTCGGGGGCAGGTCTCCGATCTGTCGGCGATGCACTGTCAAACCGCATGGTAAGGATGGTAACAACCTTCCCAGGGGCACTCTCGCATCCTTGCCTCCTCGGTCCAGGCCTGGCCACTTTCGTGGGCCGCGCCCCGCTCGAAGAGCCTCGAGATGGGCGTCCGAGGCCCTTGCATGCTTCATCGCGCATCCTTGCTGTACGGGCTGCCTGCGTCACCGATTCCAGCTCGATGTTCCCCCCCTCCTGAGCCCGTCTCCCCCCGAGGGTGGGGGGCGTTGGCTCGGGAGCGTGCCCGGTAGGCTTCAGGCCCAGGGGGGCCCCTGATTTAACGGGGGGTTGGCGGTGATGACATCCATGGCCAGTCCATTATTGGAGCTCCACCGGCCTCCAGAGCCAGAATTCCTGAGACAATGGCTCCTTATCCAATGCCCTCAACCCTCGAGCAGGGGATCGACTACAGACTTGATTTGCCCAAAACTGAATTAATGTTTGTCGTTCCGCTCAGATTTCTTGGATCTGCGCTGGGCTCTCCCTGGCGGCGCCTCCGGCTCCGCGCGCCAGAGAAGGGGTACAGCGCAGATCCAAGAAATCCGTGCGGAGCGCATGAAGTTTAAGTTCATGCCTTTTTTTCTTCTCCACTCGAAATTCTAAGCCGTTCGGGACGATCCGAGCATCCCTGGAACGATCTCGGCGAGGCGCAGCCGCTGGAACGTATCCCGAGGGCGGAAGACCGCCGAGAAACTACGACCACGCCCGAAACCCTCGAACCTCGAAGCGCGAACCTCGAAGTTCCCCCCCCTCGCTCTGGTCTCCTCTGTCAGGTCTCCTCTGGCAAGGCCAGCCCCCCTCTACCTGCCCTTCCTCATCCTCCTCCTTCTCCTCCTTCTCCTCCTCCTCCTCCTCTTCCTCCTCCTCCTCCTCCTCTTCCCCCTTCTCCTCCTCCCCCTCCCAGGTCTCCTCTGGCAGGGCCAGCCTTGGCCGCCGCAGCCCAGGCTGCGTCGCGCAAACGGGGGCCTCGTCGCCGCCCGGTGGCGCCGGATCGCTGGCGCGGCGGCTCTGCCAGTGAGCACCGGAAGGAGGAGGAGGAGGAGGAGGAGGAGGCGCGAAAGGAAGAGGAGGCGGAGGAGGAAGAGGCGGAGGAGGAGGAGGAGGAGGCGGAGGAGGAGGAGGAGGCGGAGGATGAGGAGGAGAAGGAGGGGGAGGAGGGGGAGGAGGAGGAG